AACTACCTATTCCATCCCTATGGCACACTGCTGGCCTGATACTAGCCTCAGTCTGCCACTCTACATGCATAGATCAACTCACCACTGCCAGGATATCCCAGAATTCACCAGCATCCCTGCCGCTGACGCCATCTTTAAAATCCAATGGTGCACCTGAACAAGTACTGTCAATCTGGTGCTGCCCTGCACGGTTCCTGACATTTGCTCTGGCTATCGCAGAGAAGGGAAAACTGGTGCCCCGCTTTGTGGGCAGGCTCCTGGAAGTCCTGGTGGGTAGATTGGCGCAGGTGAAGAACATCCTCTTGCCTCAGGACCCAGCAGAGGAGGTGATGTCAGCAGACCATGGCCCCAGGGCTACTGCAGTCTTAGTCATCTGGTGGAATGCCCAGAAAGTAGGAAAAGGTTCAATGACCTTCTCCACTCGGTGCCACTAGTTTCCTCACACTTACTCTGTGCTACTGTATCCACCTGTCACTAAGGCTCACGCTCAATGTTCTTTCAGGTCAAACTATAAGTTAGACGCCTTTATAGAGGGAGTAAATCCAAGGTAACTGGATAAAGATTACACACAAAGGGTTTTATGGAATGTATACAATGGGCTCTGTTACACAGAAACTGATGCAGTGGCTGCTCACAGTCAAAAATCTTCCTCAACCATTTTATGTCAACTAGAAACCACTTTTAGCCACTTTATGCTACTTCAGCCATGGGCAGCCCTAACACTCTGCCACTCACATTACTGCCTGCAGTACCTTCCCCACTTGCCCTCAGCTACCCCAATCCCTGCCACCACTAGCCCTTCCTGCCCTCTGTACTGCCTGCTCACTCACTCAGGACACCTCCTCATGTGCATCAAAATTAATAGCTGTGCAATCCACTTGCATCTCCCTTCATACCTGCCCCTCATTCCAGGGAGGTAGAGCAGATAAAGAGTCACGATGGATAGTGGGCTTTGTGACACTCTTATGAGGAGAGAAACTGACTGTAACTGCCCCAATGGGTGTTCCGACCGTGCCCAAGCCCCTGAGCTAATGTTGGAGGTTGCCCATGACTTACTGTGTGCTGGGACCCCTAAACAAAGGCTATCCCCTTAACTTGACTGAAGACAGCTGACAAGCAACTTCCTGGTTTTGTATCTGTGCTTACAGCAAGGCAACACAACAATACTGAGAGTCTGCTCTCTGAGGTTGAGCAGCAAAGTGCAAAAAGGTAAGGCAAGGCAGAGATGCTGTGATTACGTCTATGCACTCAAAGTGGGTGAACACTAAGAGAGTAAGTAAACAGTCTGGAGATGGAGCCTGGGCCGGTCCATGAGCTGGGTAGGTGTCCCTGAGTGTACATTTTCCTGCTGCAGCACTATAGTGAGAGTTGTTGGTGCAGCACTGAAGTGAAGAAACACACTGTAAGTGCATCCGAGATGTTTCATGAGGGATCTTTAGACACTGGCACATGTCAGATGCCAATGTTCGTGGATTTGGAGTGCTCGTGCCCAGGGTCGACTGCAGCATGCCCTGAGAGGTCAGTGCCTGGGGGCCCTGTGGAAAACGTTTGGAGCTGGTGGCAAGCTGCATCTGCCAGGTATCTGCTCTGATATCCTTGTAACCACGTCAAGAATTCTTGGTCTCTAGTTTGCTTGTGGCTGCATCTTAATGAGGAGCGATGTGTAGTTAACAAGCAACATTTCCCCATACCAGCAATTCACTACTCCCTCGCGAGAATCTCACCTCGACACACGGGATTTAGTTAAAAGATGCAGCGAGTTGCTCCCAACGTCAAGATAGGTCTCAATGGAGTCTTCATGTGGTTCAGCAACATCTCTTGCCATAGCCCAATGTCATTCAGGCTCCTGTAAGGTTCTAGCCATAATGTTTTCAGATTCATAAGTTTTGGAATACCCTGCAAAAAGTTCATCCAATTCAACCTGAGCCTCTGGATCATCATGAGGATTCTACACGGGATCAGATTTGTCATTTTCAGTTGAAGAACTCTCTCCATAACATTATCTTCAGGGCAGATTCCTTCTTCCATTTCTGTAACAGGTTTTCACTTACATCAAATTTTTGCACTGCAGTCTCATTATTTGATGGGTTTGGAAGCATTATAACTTCTTGTTTGTAACCAGCTTTATACTTCATTCTTTTCACAGAGGGACTCATTTCTGTTTATGAACCATCATGTGCGTTCTCCTTTGAATGAATGTGTCTTAAATGTCTATTAATCTCCCTTGCAATATGGTCCCTCTGGCTACGCATTCCCATACATCAACTCATTAGGCTATTAAAGCTGTGTGTGTGTGTGTGTGTGTGTGTGTGTGTGTGTGTGTGTGTGTGTGTGTGTGTGTGTGTGTGTGTGTGTGTGTGTGTGTGTATCTTCAGGTGACTGATAGGCACAGCACTATGGTAACTCTCTATCCAAGCTTTTAGCTGTACTTATATATCTTTCTATGGCTCGGTGTCAAAGCTCCTGAGAAGTGATATGGATCCGTTTAACTATCCTGAAGGTGTTATATACACACATTGGCAAGCAATTGTTGATGTGACCAATTTCAGCTGATCTGTGTGAGAAACCACATCGAGGGCTCAAGTCATACCTTCAAACAAGTTTCAATGACATATAAACTGTAGACATGCTTATCGACGTGACCAATTTTCATAGTTTGCAAGCAGTCCTTATTGTGGATACTTTGTGGGTTTAACCAGCAGTCTGGATTTTACAATGAAGTAAATATTAATTTTTGGTTGAAAAATATCTCAGCCTCCTGCTCACCCCACCTTTTCAACTCTGACCCCTTTTCCTACAAAGCTGAAAGGTAGGTTCCCAAGCAATTAGTGGCCCTTACATACTTCAGTGAAATGACAATTATACCTGTACAGACTGAAGCCGTCACTGCCACCAACTGTTCAACAGTAAAAATCACCGCAAGATCCAACCCTGTGTTCAACCACACACTTACTACAGACTGGAACGCACTGCCTAAAAAAGGATTCACCGAAGAAACTCAAAAGATAATTGAGTAAATACGTGAAAAGGAAACATTTGCAGACCTATGGAGACAGAGAGCAAGAACGGGACTGATTGAATAGCTGGAACCACCAAGGTGACACTGAGCCAAATAGCCTCCTTCTGGTATGTACTAATTTTATGTGAGCCCACCATGTCAAATGTAAATACATACCTTCAATGTTGAGGCGGAATAGACAACCTTTTTAACAAATGAGGGCGATAAAAAGGTCATAAATCAAAACACTCTTATAAGAGGATTGCAGAAGCCATGGCCCATAATTTGTTAGTGCATTTGCATCATGAGTTGCAGAATACACAAATTTGGACAACAGTACAGAATAAATAAGCCATGGCATTACACTTCAGGTATCAGCATATTAATGCTCAGTGTCATTATTGAAAAATCCCCTCTATTACTTCTTTGGAAAGCTTGACTCATCTGAAGTGGATTATCACCACCAGTATCATCGCAGAGCTGGGACATTTGGAAAAGCACAGCATGTGCTAGCTTTGGTTAATGTCATTTTAGCCCAATCACGTCAATTAGTTTGTGAAGCCCACTGAAAAAAAAAGACACATCTTTCAACACTATGTAATGGTAAAGAGGTGCCTTTGATTTCAGTGTTTACACATGCTGCACAGCAGTGAACTATACATGCTTGTATGCCTTTAATCACAGAATCCCTACAGTCTGGAAGCAGGCCATTTGGCCCATCAAGTCCACATTGACCACCTGAACAGCATTCCATCCATACTTAACCCCTACCCCATACCTGTAATGCTGCATTTCCCATGGCTAATCCACCCAATCTGGACACTATGGGGCAATTTAGCACAGCCAATCCACCTAACCTGCTCATCTTCAGGTTGTGGGGTGAAACTGGAGCACCCGGAGGAAACCCATGCAGGCAGGGAGAGAATGTGCAAACTCCACATGGACAGTCACCTGAGGCTGGAATCAAACCTGGGTCCCTGGCACTGTGAGGCAGCAGTGCTAACCTCTGAGCCACTGTGCTGCCTGTTCACATCTGCAAGGAACTTAGAGTGTTTTCTCATTTGATCTTGTGATGTGGTTGTTGCTGTCACTAGTTGCCCTTGAGAAGGTACTGGAGAGCTGCTTCCTTGAACCGCTGCAGTCCTTCTGACGAACACCCATAGTGCCATTATGGAGGGAGTTCGAAGATTTTTACCCAATGACAGTAATATGGTTTCACTAAATTGGGATGGTGTGAGATTTGGAGGGTAACTTGCAGATGGTGCAATTTTCAGCCATCTGCTGCCCCTGTCCTCGCAGATGGTAGAAATCTAGGGTTTGGAAGGTACTGTCAAAGCAGTCTTAGTGAGTTTATGCAGTGCATCTTGTAGATGGTACATACTGCTGTTGCTGTACATCAGTGATGGAGGGAGTGAATATTTAAAAAGTGATGATAGGGTGCTAATCAGTGTGCTGCTTAGTCATGCATATTGTTGAGTTTCTTGAATGCTGTTGGAGCTGCATTCATTTAAGAGACCGTACAGTATAGTTCTGATTTGTATTTTGGGGTGTCCGGAAGTGAGTCATTTGCTGCAGGATTCCTAGCCTCTGACCTGCTCTTGTAGCTACAGTATTCATACGACTAGTGCAGTTCAGTTTGTGGTTAATGATGACCTCAGAATGCTGATTTTGGAGAGTTCAGTGACGGTAGTGGTTAAACATCCAGGGACAATAAATCTATGTGGGGGTGCGTTCCAAATCTCAGGACTAGATGTATTGTTATTAATACTGGTTAGGTTCATTTTCGTACAGATAGATTAACCTGAAATTTCTCTTTCTAATACGCTCGGTTAACGTTTCAGCAAAAATTATTTGAGAGGAAAAATGCTTGCACAAAAACATCACGGATGTAATTACTACATTGTGGAGCCCAAGCACAATTCTCCACATTCATAAAAATGTCTGGTTCATTCATTTGTCCAGACAGGATTAATGAAAAGTCTTGGTTTATTTTAATTCTAACCTTTGATCCAGGTGGCGCCATCAGGCCTAGAAATGCATAGACAGCATTGTTCTCTCTGGCATCGAAAAATGCTTCAAAGTTCTATAAAGAAAGAAGATAGAATTATAGAATGACACAATACACATGGAGGCCATTACGCCCACTGTACCTGTGCTAGCTCTTAGAGAGAGCTGTCTACATTGTTCCAGTCCCACGTTCTTTCGCTTAGTCCCACAAGTATTTCCCTTCAAATATTCATACAATTCCCACTTTGAAAGTTCCTGCTCAACTTTTTCTCACCAACTCTATGGCTCTATAGATAAGGTTAATGGTAGCTGCCTTTTCTCTGGGATTGGGTATTTCAAGACTAGGGGGCACATTTTTAAGGTGAGAGGAGAGAGATTTAAAAAGAAGACATGGGGGCAATTTTTTACACGTAGGGTGGTTTCCCATGTGGAATGAACTTCCTGAGGAAGTGGTGGACATGGGATCAATTACAACATTTAAAAGACATTTGGATAAGTACTCAAATAGGAAAGGTTTGGAGGGATATGGGCCATGAGCAGACAGGCAGGAGTAGTTTAGTTTGGGATTATGTTCGGCATGGACAGGTTGGACCAAAGTGTCTGTTTCTGTGCTGTATGACTCTATTACCTCTCAGCTAGTGCATTCAAGGCCGGAACAACACACTGCAAACAACTTCTTTCAATCTGGTTACTGATTTTCTCTTTTATCTTTCAGTAACTTCTGGATGAACACTGGTTTGCGAATTATCCTCTGAGATGTAAAAGAATGTACAAAATGTAAATCACATAGTGAATGCACACAAAGGAAGTCGCATTGGAGAATGGGTAACTAACAAATGTAAAATGAATGTCATCTGATGGGATAGGAGTTGTGTTTTCCTTAAAATATTGAATAAGCTCATCATAAACTAAGTTACTAACAATTCTTTCTCTAGTTTATTTATTGATACACAAAGAAGGGATAATAACTTTAAGCAGGAAAGGATAACTGAAAATTAGCATCAGCATTTACTATTATCTGTAACAGATTGGTAACAGATATTCTATTGTTGTTCTTGATGCAGTACAGAAATGGACAGGAAAAATCAGGAGAGTTTTATATAACATAAGGAACTGCTGACATAAAAGTGAGCAAATCAGAGCTGGTATGGACAAAAATGATTGTTCACATTGGATCAGATGACTAGCATTTCAGGGCATGAAGAGGGATTTTGAAACATACGAATAAGGAACAAAAATAGGCCATTTGGCCCTTTGAGCCTGTTCCACTACGCAATAAGATCATGGCTGATCTGATCTTGACCTCAACTGTCCATTCCTGCATACCACTGACAGTCTTTTATCCCCCTTGGTAATCAAAAATCTATCTACTTCTGCCTGAAAAATATTGAAAGGTTCTTCATCCACTGCCTGTTGAGGAAGGGAACTCCAAAGGCAAGCAACCCTCAGAAGGAGAGAAAAACTTTTCCTCATCTCAATTTTAAATGCATGACCCCTTATTTTTAAACTATGATTCCCAGTTCAAGATAGTCCCAAGACAGACCATAAGGTATAAGAGAAGAATTAGGCCATTCGGTCCATCGAGACTGCTCTGTCATACCATCACGGCTGATATGTTTCTCAAGCCCATTCTCCTCCCTTCTCCCCGTAACCTTTGATACCCTTACCAATCAAATACCATCAATTACTTGACTCTACAGCCATCTGCGGCAATGAGTTCCACAGATTCACCACCCTCTGGATGAAGAAACTCCTCCTCAACGCGATTCTAAAGGGTCATCACTTCACTCTGAGGCTATGCCCTTCGGTCCTAGTCTCTCCTACTAATGGAAACATCTCCACATCCACTGTATCCAGGCCCCTCTTTATTCTGTAAGTTTCAATGAGACAACCCCTCATTCATCTAAACTCCATTGAATATTGACCCAGAGTATTCAACTGCTTGTCATATGACAAGGCCTTCATCCTAAAGATCATTGTTGAAAACCTCCTCTGGACACCATCCAATGCCAGCAAATCCTTTCTTAGATACAAAGCCCAAAATTGCTCACAATATTCCAAATGCCATCTAATCAGAGCCTTATACAGCCTCAGCAGTACATCTCTGCTCTTGTATTCTAGTTTTCTCAAAATTAATGTGAACGTTGCACTTGCCTTCCTAAATGCCAACTGAACCTGCATGTTAACCTGAAGAGAATTCTGAACTAGAACACCCAAGTCTCTTTGTGCTTCAGATTTCTGAAGCTTTTCCCTGTTTAGAAAATAGTCTATCCCTCTATTCTTCCTACCAAAGTGCCTAACCACACATTTTCTCACATTGGATTCCATCTGCCACTTCTTTGCCCACTCTCTGAGCCTGTCCAAGTCCTCCTGCCACCTCACTGCTTCCTCCACACTACCTGATCCTCCAACTATCTTTGTGTAATCTGCAAACTTAGCAATAGTGCCCTCAGTTCCTTCATCCAGATTATTAATGTATAACATGAATAGTTGTGGTCCCAACACTGACCCCTGAGGAACTCCACTAGTCACCGACTGCCATCCGGAAAAAGACCCCTTTATCCCCACTGTCTGTTTTCTGCCAGTCAGCCAATCCTCTATCCATGCCAGCGCCTTGCCCCCATGGGCTCTTATCTTATTTAGTTGCCTCCTGTGCGGCACCTTGTCAAAAGCCTTCTTGAAATCCAAATTGATTACGTCTATTGGCTCTCTTTTGACTAACTTGCTCATAACCTTCCCAAAGACTTCTAATAGATTTGTCAGACATGACCTCCCCTTGATGAAGCCGTACTGACTCAGCCCTATTTTCCCATCCATTTCCAAGCACTCCACAAATAATGGAATCTAAAATCTTACCAATAACTGAGGTCAGCTTAACTGGCCTATAGTTTCCTGTCTTCTGCCTCCCTCCCTTCTTAAACAGGGGTGTTACAGTAACCATTTTCCAGTCCTCTGGGACCCTCCCTGACTCCTGAAACATCACTACCAATGCCTCCACAATCTCCTCATCTATCTCATAGAGTTATACAGCACGATGCCTTCAGAACTGCAGGGTGTAGCCCATCCGGTCTGGGTGATTTACTCATCTGCAGGCCTTTCAGCTTCCTCAGCATCTTCTCCTTAGTGATGGCCACTACACGCACCTCTGCCCCTTGACTGTCTTGAAGTTCTGCTTGTGTCTTCCAAGTGAAGGCTGATTCAAAATACCTATTCAGTTTCTTTACCATCTCTTTGTTCCCTTTACTATTTCTCGAACCTCATCTTCCAGTGGTCCAATGTCTACTCTTGCCTCTCTCTTAGCTTTTAGATATCTAAAACAGACTCTTGCAATCGTCTTTTATAATACTAGCTAGCTTACCCTCCTATTTCATCTTCTGCACTGTATTGCTTTTGTAGATGTCCTCTAATGGTTCTTAAAGGCTTCCTAATCTTTGGCTTTCTAATAATCTTCACCACGTTGTATGTTTTTCCTTTTGCTTTTATGCTGTCCCTTACTTCCCTTGTCAGCCATGGTTGCCTCATCCTTCCCTAAGTATGTTTCTTCTTCCTTGGGATAATTTTTTTTCTATACTTCCCCAATTACCCTAACAAACCCCTGCCATTACTGCTCCACTGTCTTCCTTGCTAGGCTCCCCTTCCAATCATCTCTAGCCAGCTCCTCTCTCATGTCTTTGTAGTTACCTTTACTCAATTATAATATAATTATACCTGACTCAATCTTCTCATTTTCAAACTGCAGGGTGAATTCTGTTATATTATGGTCCCTGCCCTCCCCACCGGGGATCCTTCACCTTAAGCTCCCTAATGACATCTGCCTCATTATACATTCCCAAATCCAGAATTGCCTGCTCCCTTGTTGGCTCTACCACAAGCTGCTGCAAAAACCATATCGCAGATATTACATAAGTTTCTTTTCTTTGGATCTGCTACCAACCTTATTTTCCCAGTCCACCTGCATATTGAGGTCCCCCACGGTTATTGTAATAGTGCCATTTTGACATGCCTTTTCTATCTCCTGATTTAGTTTCTGCCCCACATCCTGACTACTGATGGAGGCACTGCACATATCTCCCAACATTATCTTTTTCCTTTGTAGTTTCTCAACCCTACCCACACAGATCCTACACCTTCCAACACTGAACCGCTTCCCGCTATTGATTTAATTTCATTTCTTACTAACAAGACAGCCTGACCCTTTCTGACCATCTGCCCATCCTCTCGATAGGACATGTACTCTTGGATATTTAGTTCCCAGCCCTGATACGCTTGTAACCAAGTCTCTGTGTTGCCCATAACATCGTACCTGCCAATTTCAATAGGAAACATCCTTCCCACATCCACCCGGGCAAATCACTTCAGGTTCTTATAAGTTTCAATTCAGTCACTTCTGACTAATCTAAACTCCAGAGAATACAGGTGCAGTCTGTCCAGGCTTTCCTCATAAGACAATCCGCTCATTCTAGAGACTAATCTGGTAAACCTTCTGAAAGTAAAACAGGAGGAGAAGACAAGGAGATGGTACCTTAGCTTGTGTGAACAGGCAGTCATTAACCGACAGTCATTAACAGGCAGAAATTAACCGAGCAGAACAAGATAACAGACCCTATCCTGGTCAGCAAGCTCATGGGTGATTTATGATCTGTTTCAAATTGGAAATTAGTGTCTAGACACTGTAGTACGTTCATCTTCGTGCCAACAAATGTTTAGCTGTCACCAAATGGTATCAAGTTTGAATCTCTTAAAATCAGTCATATTCTGTCACTGGAAGAAGTTCCTCCCTATTTTTTCTTTAAAAAAAACACTCATAATTTTGAACTTCCATTGAGTCTTGTCTTCACATCTTGGGATCAAAGGAGAACAACCTCAGTTTCTCTAGTATCTGCTTTATTGAATGTCCTCATCTTGAGCAACATTCCAGTTAATCCCCCCTGCAACCTTTTCACCTTTCTAAAATTTACGTTTGCATCAAACACAATACTCTTGCTGGAGCCTAACCAATGATTCATAGAAACTTAGCACAGCTTTCCTAATTTCACATACATTGCTCCTGTTTATGCCGCCATTTCAGGATCTGACTTTTTAAAAAAAGAGAAAACAATCTTTGCAACTTATCTCGATAAACTTTTATCTGCCACGTGCCTGGCCGTTTCACCAGACTGTTAGTGTCTTCTTGAAGTCTGTTACTATCTCCTCCACTTTTTACAACATCTAAATTTTGTATCATCGTCAAAACTTAGAATTTAAGTCCTGTATACCCAAGCCTAGATCATTGGCACAGATCAAAAACAGCAGAGGTTCCAATGGTAACACTTAGGAAACAGCCTTGTGCTGTTTGTCAGAACCACTCTCCCGTCAGGGACAATGAAGTGCCAAACCCAATATTCTTATTTGGACAGCATCCTCTGGAATAGGTTAATAATTCCAGCAAACCCCTGGAATGCATCAAACTGATGCATGGAGCTTAAGATTATTCCAGAGAATCCCCGTGGATCAATGGATGCTTACGGGAATGTGTCAAAATTTCCAGTGGGTACCATAAATCCGTCAATTGTTCCAAAGAATCTGGAGTCAAATCATTTGTTCCAGGGCATCACTGGAGTCCATCAGATATTCCAGGGAATACCTGTGCGAACGTCAATAAACCCAGAATATCCTGTATTGCTATGTCCAGGGAGAAATCCTGGAAGTATTATCAGTGGTTCCAAGGAACCCCCAACTCTATTAGTTAGTATGAAAGATTCATTAAGTTATCAATTAATTGATTGGTACTAGTATTCCAATTACTGGATTGTGCTAAGAAGTCTCATAAAGACAGGTAACTGACTCTAACCAATGATCAGTTCTCAGAGCAGGAGGATCTGTTTGATCAGGTGACTGCAGTATTAAAAAAAATATTGTAAGGTCATAGTCATTACTTTCAGCCTCCTTGGAATAAATAAGGCAATTCCCAAAGGCATAAAAATAAAAGGTTTATAGATTGTCAGCCTTTGAAATAGGCCAGGTATGAGATGCAGGGGTCAACATGATGGACGGGTTAAAGACAGTTAGAATGAACACTTTGACGCATTTCACTATTACAGCAGAACAAAATAATGGGCAAATGAGTCTGAGTAATGACTTAGCAACAGCTAATGGGGGCTTCAGGTGTAACTCAAAGGATCACTCTGCCTCAAGTAGTGAGATACAGTCCTCTAAATCATATGAGGATGAGAATTCTGAGCAGGAGATTGAAAACAATGAAGAAACCAGACAAACTGATCACAAGGTAATGTAGTCCCGCAATGAATGCAATAGCCATGGACTCCTTTAACTGCGCAGCATTAGGCAGTACTTGTGCATTGACGGTATGTGGGACTTATTGAGTAAAATATGACCTCGATTCACTAATTTTGAGGATTGATGCAAGATTGAGGAACATTAAAGGAACTACTTGTTTTAAGCTTAGCAATGACAGCACATTGCAATCACAGAAGAAGGTTGTAATTCCATGAAAAGTAGCTGAAACGAGTCATTAAATAAGCAATGACACAGTCTACAGCTCAATTCATTTGCTATTAAATACATCTTCTGGAAAAATGGCCCAGATAAAACCTGACATGCCACAATTTGGAGGGAAAGGAAACGTCTAAAGTTAAATATATGGATGCAAGTCATAATGTCAGATTGTTAAACAAAAGAAATGCACTTATGAAGTAATTATTCATGGCTGTAGATGAAAAGTGTCTAAGGATAGTGCTGTATACAGGATATGCTGTCTTTGGTTTAACTTATTTTTAAATTTTGCTTGTGTATATAACCGCATTTTGTTTAGATAAAGGTGAATATGTTAATTGTATTTAATAGTATGCAGATGGTGCGTACTATCAGGGGTTCCACTTAAATTCTATAAATAAGAGCAGACTGTAAGGTTAGGAGTAGGTGCCTCTCAGCAAATGACAAGCTTAGAAAAGTGTGTCAAGATTGGATTCAGGTCTATCATTCACCATTTGGAATTTAAGACTGAATTTGTTGATGTTTTCAGGGAAACCTATTAATACTGTCAGATGGTCCCGCACAGAGTTTGCAAACATCCTGTCTCCCAAAAAAGCAAAATCCACATAAAGTCTCAGGATTAGTTTCAAACCACATTAAAGTCATGCTATGCAGCTGAACTCCCCTCTAAATAAAACAGTTACTGTCTGCACGTATGAATTCCAACACATTCTCTGTAACCTTCAAAGTTGAAAATCAGTGGCTACATTTCAAAAACACAACATTAGGCAAAGGTTTATTTTAAAGACGTCAGCCCTTATTTCACGGTGAAAATCCCAGAAGTTTATTCACTTTGGATCCACTCAGCTGCTTTAACTCATGTTCATATTATTACATCTCCCAATGCTCCCAGTAACTAATTAGTTTCATTTTTATTTCAACAGCTGTTTAATTCAGCCTCCAAGGCTATTTCAGTCATAAAATGTCAGAGGGTAGGGGGGAAGAGCGTAATAAAAGATTCTTCATCAAATGAGCACATACTGAACAAATAACCTTGCATAGTAATTACCACAGTCTGCCAAGATTAAAATTGCCAGCCACTGATCAATACTCACTAACACCAAACCGTCATTTACAATAAAGTTGGTTTTATTTCAGCAATGCAGGAGATCTTTGCTAATTAGGAATGCATTAATTCCAAAGCATTAATTTCTGGTGTAAATGTGATGCTAAAAGAACTAAATGTAATACGCTTTTACAATTTGATGTCATTTGAGCAATTTTAACAAATGAGGTGACATTATAACTCAAAGTTGACAGTGAAGAGGGATGTCATCAATTAGAGTTTAGTCTTTGCACTATTAGTGGATGAGAGCGGAGTGTGTTCATATATTCCTCTACAGTCATTTTAACATGGATGCAAGAAGGCTTGTGATGCCGCTCGAAGAGTGGTCAAAGAGAAAAGCATACAGCAAGCTGCCAATCAGAAACACTGTTCAGACACACAGGACAATATCTCAAAGGACTTCAGTTAAACAGTGGACATTGTATGGGAGGAGAGTGGAAAACAAAGCAGTTATGTGATACAACCCAGTGGAGGTTGTTGTAAGTATACAAGCTGGTCATAAATTACAAAGAATGACGTGTAAGTTCTGGATGATGGAGTGAGGTGGCGGATTAATTGGCCACCAGTGAGGGAAAGGGAGAAGGACAGTTTTAAAGCAGTGCAGGACGCTTATTGGAATTCTAACAGGGCAGACCACCAACATACAGTGATGTGGCATCATGCCATTCACCCATTGATATCATCAACATTCACTTCTAAGTCTACTAAAAGCTTCGAACGTAATTTTACTTGACTGACTTACTTTATTTCATTTTCAAGAAAAAGCTCACATTAGCAATGGAGTGATATTCTGTTTGCGAAAGCTTGCCTTACCCCACAATAATGGTCATTATTGAAGATCTGAGGTGGAAGTGGGTTTCCACCTACAGGTCGGCAGTTCTCTGGAACATTCTCCCTCATAAACATTTTGCTTTCGTCACTGATTGCAATGTCACATCTTTCAAACTCAATTTTGTTTGCCTGTAGGTAGTCCAATATCTCTTGTTGCTGCTTCTTAATCTAGAAATGAAACCAATATACTGATTACTCAATGCAGGAACCACAAACATATGAAAGGAATTCCCTACGCTTGAGATGCTAGTATAGAACTAAGCACATTGCTCATTGTAAAATTATAGACTAAACATATATAGTGCACCTCCTTTGTCAGTCATCATTCTAAAGATTCATTGTAAGTTCTATATAAACATACTACTGTTGCTTGTTTATTGGAGAATGATACAAAATGTGGTCATGAATTAATGACAGCGCTGCATTCCTGAAATTGTGAGCACCATGCTGTGGAGGCACACTTTGACACTAATTAAGATACCAGCATTTTTCGAATTTGTCTTCCTCTCTACTTTAACATGACTTCAATGCAGCTCGCTCCCTATCGATCCCTCATATAATCATTGAGTGTTCTCCTGACTTTCCTTCATTTCCATTTTCCCCAATGTTCACAAGCACATCGTCTGGAATGTGCTTTTTTGAAACAAGGAACCGTTCACAAGGCAGTCAACGTGTAACCAGCAAAGCAAGCAGCATTGTATCAAATTAGCCCCAAGTTTGCACCCACAGCAGATATACATGCTGACAGGTTAGCAGCTAAATCCAGAGTCACAACAATACCGTGAGTTCCAAGGAGTTTTCCTACCCTCAAATCCATGAAAAACTCACAGCAATTTATCACTGGCTATCTCAGATCCTCAGGACGTCCCAGATTGCTGCACCAAACCATTGGACTATTTCAGTGCAATCACTGTTCTGTGGAAAGCTTTCATTTAAGGTGGCTTTGTTTGACCTGTTTGCAGTTTAGAAACACCTGTACTACCTACCCTGTTTTCTCCTGCTCTCCACTAGCCCCTTCCTGGGGAACCCATGGCTTCACACAGTCTCCTCTTACTGCTTGCCACCACTGGGCTGCCAAGGAGGGCAGGAGTGGGAAGTGACTGCCAGGGAGACGGCTGCAATTAAAACTAGGTGAGATCAAAATAATTGACAATCATTTAAAACACTTAACCATCATCAAACTGAAGGCAGGTTTGTCAATACTACGGCTTTAAGAGGTGTATTTTGTCCTGGGTTTTTTTTTATTTGAAGAGAGGTTTTAAGACAGAAGTGCCTAGCTTTCTATTGAAAGTAAGCAGTTTGTGAGGCCATGGGTTTTTCCTTAAAAGTTGGAACAATAGAAGCAGCCTGAAGGCAAAGGGTAAGCTCCCACAGAACCAGGATTTTAGTTTAAGTTCTTCAGTAGTAGCAGTTGCTGGGTTTTGAAGTTGTAGTACATCTCTCCCTGCTACTCTCTCCGAGTTTTCTCTTCATGTTTTTCCTCCCAGACAGGAGAATTGCACGTGAGACAATTTATTTTACTGAATTTGCCTTTGCCAAGGGTGTGTCAATGGGATGTTACTATATTGCAACAGTTAATTAGTAGAAGTTACTATATCTGTTATTTTGTTAAGCCTTTTGGTAGAGTTGCAGCTAAGCCAATTCTTTACTTTCTCCTTTTGTTGTATTTTAACTATAGAGGGTGAATAAAGTGTGTTTTGCTTCAAGATTGGTCGTTTAACCAATCGAATTGCATCCAGAATGCAACGCCTAGCCCTTGCCTTTAAAATAAGAAAAACTTAGGCTTTAGACTATCTTCTTAATATATTTTGAGTTTGGTCTCGTCCATAATATAGGCCTCAAGGAAGTTTGGGATAATGCTTGGCATGGACTGTTTGGACTGAAGGGTCTGTTTCAGTGCTGTATGGCTCTATGACTGGTGGAGTGATATCTGCACTGAACACAGATCGGAAGACAAAAATTGACAAGGTTTATGAGAAAAAGCAGATAGTGAGCACAAGAAACGGCTGACTGACAAATCTTTAGGTGAAGTTGCTCAGACAGCAAAGCAACTGTCCACAAAGTGACAAAACACATTTGATTTTGTTACCAGATGATGACCTCACACAGGTTCAACAGTAAACTTTCAATCGTTCGCTTCCGAAAGAAGAATTATCAGCACCAAGGAGAAAGATCGTGCTAAATTAGGCAGCAGCCCTCCAGCAAAACACTGGGGCATCTGAAAATATCTAGCTCACCAGAAATCAACTACAGATGGCAAATGAAAACATCTAACTGAATCAACAAGTTGTAATAAAGAACGTAAGAGCTAAGAGCAGGAGTGGACAATTCAATCCCTCCAGCCTGCTCCATCATTTAATACGATCATGGCTAACCTCAACTGGGCCTCAACTCCACTTTCCTGCCCACTCTCCCTAACCCCTAATCCATTGGTACACACAAATCCGTCTATGTCCTCCTTATGTTTATTCAGTGTCCTGATGTACACTGCACAGTGGGGTAATGAATTCCACAGATTCATGAATCTTTGAGAGGGGTGACCTTACACAGGTTTATAAAATCATGAGGGGCATGGATAGGGTGAATAGTCAAGGTCTTGTTGCTAGGTAGGGGAGTCCAAAACTTGACAGCATTGGCTTAAGGTGTGAGGGGAAAAAGTTTTCAAAATACTTGAGGGGATAACTTTTTCACGCAGAGGGTTGTGCGTACGTGGAATGAGCTGCCAGAGGGAGTGGTGAAGATGGTACAATTACAACATTTTAAAAAGGTATTTGGATGGGTAGATGAATATGAGGGATATTAACCAATTGCTGGCAAATGGGATTAGGTCAGATTGGGATGTCTGATCGGCATGAATGAGTTCAGCCAAAGGGTCTGTTTCTACACTGTATGACTCTATGATTCAAAGTAATTCCTCATCTCTGTTTTAAATCTGCAAGCCTTTATCCTAGAATTATGAACCCTTGTTCTAGAATAGCTTTCCACTTCAACACAGATAGATCAGCAGATTGAGAATAAAGAACTGCTTGAACAAAAATGGAGATAAAAACGAAAAGAACTGCAGATGCTGTAAATCAGGAACAAAAACAGAAGGTGCTGGAAAAACTCAGCAGGTCTGGCAGCATCTGAGGAAGTTCTGTGGAAGGGTCATCGGACCCAAAACGATAACTCTGATTTTTTTCTTCACAGATGCTGCCAGACCGGCTGAGCTTTTCCAAAAATGGAGATAAGTTGCACTTCAACTTACAGGTATTCAATGTGGTAGTGGTAATGTTATTGGACTAATGATCCAGAGACCCAGCTTATCGGTTCCCATCCATCCATGGCAGGTTTTAACTTTAATTCTACTAATAAAATCTGGAACAACACTTTTCACTGTATCTTGGTGCAATAATAAATCAAATCAAAATTCAAATCAAAAAGTAACCATCACTTGCCATAAAAAAAAACCATCGTATGTCCTTTATGGAAGGAAATCAGCTATTCTTACATGGTTCACCGTGACTCAAAACCCACAACGTGCTTGACTCTTAGTTACCCTGTGAAATGGCCACACAAGCCAGTCAGCTGTAATTTACCATGGCAAAATCTAACGAAAGGGCTGATAACTCAAAATCAACAACTGCAGAGTCTCCCTTACTAACTTCGGCTGGGGGGTGCCGGAGGTGGGATTTGGGAGAGTTGTTCCTTAGACTGGTCAAGCGCCAGCTTTCCACAGTTACACTCACAGAATCATATCTTACATAAAGACAATGGCCTAGTCGCCACCATCACCAGCTCTCGAAATGTCCTGTCTCACCAACAGGCCAGACCCAGAGGGAGCTGCACTGACAGCCCTCCACATTGAATCCAAACCCCGCGTCGTGTCGGTACATCAGGTCAATTATGGGCAAGGAAACCTTCTCCTGATTATTATGTACTGCCAACCATCCCCTCACTCCCATCAGTTGATGGGTCAGTACTCCCTTGTGTTGACCACTATTTGGAAGAAGTAGCGAGCGCGACAAGAGCACAAAGTGACCAGGCTGGTTGACTTCTAAAGTTGCTAGATTGGCCTGTGGCAGGTGGGAAGGGCACCAACAAGAGGGAAAAAGATACACAAAATCTCCCTCACCAAGCGGGCTGTAGCAGATGCGTTTTTCTGTGATGGTGTTGGTCGGATCTTATGGAGACGATGTTCTATCTTCACATTTGAGGAAAGTCTCCATCATGTTGGCTAGCACCACCACCACATCAACTGGAACACATCTCAAACACATTCAGCAACTCAAAACTGGCTATCCAGGAAGCTCTGTGGGCCAGGGAAATTGATTATAACTGATTATAACGATAAACGATAGGCACATTAGGGCCAGACTGTCCGAGGAGTACCAATCTCTCACCCACTGCCACACCGCTCCTCTATTTTTGCCATGAATGAGCTTTGTGTTTCTCAGAGGAAATTCCGATTTGGGACCTCCTTGAAAAATGTCAAGCCATGCTTCCATTTTGACAGTTCTCTTGTTCAGCAGATCTGTCAGAGGAAGGCAAACTTCAATGAGCGGTTAGCAGTCATATTCTAAAATTTAGAAGTCCAGAATCACAGATAGTCACTTTGACAGCAGCTGTCAAAAGTAAATGCGAAGTTAGGATGCTAAGAAGGCAGGATGCCAAGTTGGGAGGTAATAGATTACGGGGAGTATAGTGCCAGGTGGGCATTGAGTAGAGTGCCAAGTTGGTAAGGTGCCAAGGTGCAATATGGCCAGATAAATGTCGGAGTGTTTAGGGTAGTTGAGACTTATTGGGTCCAGTGAAGAAGGGGGTGGGTGGAGAAGGTGGTGGGCATGTCATGTCCTGTTGGAGGGGGAGGTCATGGAGGGGTGGTTTGGGTCTGAATCAGGGGAACAATTGGATGCAACAGCGGGGGGCAACGTTGCTGGGCCTGAAGTGGGTGAAGAAGGGTCCAGCCCAGGGCAGGGGAAGGGGGAATTCAGGTGCTGCAAGGAAAGGGAGGTTGACTACAGAGGGGTGGCAAGTGGCATGCTGGCATGTGCCAGATGTTGTGCATAGAGGGTTTTGCTGTCTGGTCAATTGGTGAGGGTTTTTGGGGTCTGACAATGGATTGGTGGAGTAAGAGAAATTGTAGACCATGCAAAGCTCCTATCTACTCTGGAACAACTGTCAGACCA